AGCAGGACATTTCTGCATTAATACCACACATCTGACAGAGCTTCCCTCTTGATCCTGAGCCAAGTCCTTAGTTCAAGTGGATGCCATGTGTGTCCAGTGTTCTAGATTGAGCAGTGAACAACATTTAGGCCTTATCATCAGTGTGGTACTCTGCATAAGCTGCAAGCAAGCGGGAGACCAATGATAGGTATCATGGCTGTCTCTGCAAGCCTGGGCCATAATCCTGGACACCCAAGCACAGTGGATTCAGAAGTTGACAAAGCAGGATATAGCATTTCCCAACCTCATGTAATTTGGGGTATTACAGCACAGAGCTCAGGACAGCAGAATACAAGTCCTGCTGTTTCTGCTGTAAGTTTGGGGTTTTTTCTTCTCCGTTTCTATGTCTATCTTATCTGCTTGACATGATACTTGTGCTTAGATTCAAAATGTGGGAGGCAGCTGTTACGTACTACATCATGTTTTAACAGTGCTGCAATATCAGAAATCACTGTTCTATTTTTGGCTGAATCTTTATCTTTTCTTTTGCAGAGCCATAGCCCTGCCCCTCAGTAGCAAACTGGGTGTGAGAGACAAGCAGAGACCAAAAGCTCAGCCCAACCCCACACTGGAAACATTCTACAGTACGCGCTGCAAGAACCCTGAAGAGGTGAGTCCTTTCTTCCTTTGCTTTCCTCTAGATTTAACCCTTGTGTCCTTAGCAAAATAAAATCACATTTGCAATCCTGAAGTTTGGTAATGCCACTCGTACTTGGAAGCTCAACAAAGCAGCAGGAACCACTAGAGCACTGGCCACCTGACACCAGCCAGCCACAGGACTCATTCTGCAAATGCCATCAGCTATCAGTTCTGCTTCTGAACATGTGGAGTAGCAGCTTTCTATAGGTAGCATTGAAAAAATTTAAATCCCAAACTTCTGTGGACAGGAAACTGTTCTCTCAAAGGAAGTAATGACAACTCCTGTTCCCTTCTGTGTTTGTCTCATACATAGCACAACTGAAACACAGGTGGCTCCCTCTGAACATCAGGAAAGACTTCCTTGCTGTGAGGGTGACCAAGCACTGGAACAGGTTGCCCAGAGAGGGTGTGGAATCTCCGTCCTTGGAGATACTCAAAAGCTGTCTGGACATGGTGCTGGGCAACCAACTCTAGGTAGCTCTATTTGAGTGGGAGGGTTGGACCAGATGACCTCCAAAGGTCACTTCCAACCCCAGCCATTCTGTGATTCTGTGATGGCTTCTTTTGATATATTAGCAAATTCCTGTCACATCAGCTGCCTTGAACTGACTCCCATGTTGCTAGTCCTTGCAGCTTAACAGGTGTGGGTTGCTTGATGCTTCTCGTTCTGGGGTGGGTCATTCTGTTGCTGTGCAATCCCTGAGTTTGAGATTGGCCTTTCAGGAAACCAACTAAAGTCTTGGCCATCATCACAGAGATTGTAAGGAGCATCAGAAAACTGCAGACACAAATGGTGGGTAGTTTTCCCATGAGTGATGAGAAGAGATCTTGAAGAACTTGGCAGGATAATCCAGAGTTATAATGGCTGCTGCTAAGGGAAAAAGCATTGGCAGGATTGTGAATTGTCAGGCAGTATTAGGATTTAACCTTGTCAGTGAAGTCCCTGGATGTGACCACTGTGGTAGGGAAAGGAATCAGATTTTGTTTCAGCTCCTTTTTGCAGGCTTTCTTGGCCTTGAAGCAATAGCTTTTAGCCCTTACCAAGGATGTATGACCAGGGTGCTGGGGTTCCAGTCCCGAGGGGTAGTCCTAGCGTGAACACGTTGCTGCCTTGACAAGGCTGTTGCAGCATGGTTCATATTGCAGTGGGGCATGTGGAGCCCCAGGACATTCAGTACTGGGTTAAAAGTAAAAGAATGGAGGCTAAAATAAAAATGCAGGCATTCATCTGGGTTGCGCAGCCGGCCTTCTCCCCAGCAGTGGGAAGTGTTCTCAGGAACACTTGCCAGTATGGTGGTCCTGTCTGTCTGCAAAATCCACACATTTCTCAGTAAAACTACTCCTGTTGCAGAGATCCAACTCAAGGCCCAGCTTTGCAAGCAGGATTTCCCACAGCTCTCCCTGCACCCACATTGCACTGAAGCCAGCACTTTTATCCCAGAGAATCTGTGATACCAGAGCATATCGTCACCATGAGACTCCTGACAGCAGTGTGACGTGGAGCAAGAATGGTGCGGCTGGCTGCTGCCTTGCTCTCTCTGTTCACAAGTTACACCTCAGCCAGTCTTCTGGCTTCCTCCCTCTCCCATGAACTCTCAGACACCTGCTTATGAGTCAGTTTTTACTTGTCCAATACAAGATGAGATTTTGCAGTTCTCAGTAGCCTTCTCCTTGGGAGGAATTCCACATTATGGAGCAGATGGAGATTATAAATCAGTGTCTCCATTTGTCTCCACCACAAGAACAGACATCACTAAGTAAGCACATCTGAAAATTGGTAATGAACATACTTTTGTACAACATGCTCGGACTATGTAAGTCAGTCTCACATGATACCATTAAGGTAAATGCATTCCATGAAAAACTATTGCTTTACTTAAAAAATAAGGCTATCCATGGTGACACTTCCAGAAGGAATATAAAACATGACAAACTTCTTTCACGTCACATGTCAAACTCTTGAGACCCTAAGGACAAGAAGGAAGGTAATTGCAGGATTTCTGTGGGTAATCTATTGAAAAATTATCCCTAACAGGTTTACCACAACGGGAGAACATGTGGTAGGAAAATGGTGTTGCCTCTGCTCATTAAGTCAGTCAGGTTGTTGGCTGAACACTGCATCAGAATGCTGAAAGGCACGACAAGATTCGGTGCAGACCTTTAAAAATTATTTAAGCTGCAGTAAATCTTTCTTGGAGTGACAGATTTAAGGGACTCAGTGTCTGAAGACAGGGTGTGGAAGTGATTCGACAACAAACTCCTGTAAGGAGACAAGACAGGATTTTGAAAGTTGAAACTGGAGAAGTTCACCTAAAAAATGTAAAGTTTCAACATTTAGCATTAATAACCAGTTGCTTACAGGGGGAATGGAAAGATTTTCTACTCTCTGAGGTCTCTACACTAAGAAGGGACAGCTTTCTGAAAGATGCCTTAGCGTGAACAGATTTGGGCTTGCCAGGAGCCTCCAGCTGGGCTCTGTGGTGGGTCAGATGAGATGCCCATATTGCCCCTTCTGACCTTCGAACCTGGATCTGAACCCTGCTTCCTCACCTGTTTTCCAGGGTGAGCTGATCAGTTTAGCCAAACAGTGCGAGCTGCCGGTGAGGAAGGTGGAGAGGTGGTTCCGGTGCCGGAGGAACACAGACCGACCCAGCCTGTCGAAGAAGTTTTGTGAGGCCTGGTGAGCGGGAGCGCAAGCCATGAGTGCCAGGGGCCTTTCACTGGAGCTGAGCTCCACAGGCAGCTCACTGCCTCCCAGCCTGCCTTCCACCCCTACTCAGGGAGCATACTGGGTCTTCCCTGTCCCACCTGGTTCTTCTGCAACTCTGCTCCTTCTCTGTTACTGAAATGTTCCTTGCCTTTCCCCTTTATTTTCACTCTGAAGTATCCTTTTACTCCTGTCTCACCTTTATTCCTTATAGGGCCTCTGTTTCTGACTTTGTAAGACTGGTATTCTGCTTTGAAACACAACTGTACCTGAAAAAATCCCTACTGTTTTGCATCTTGCTGTTTCTTGCTGCTTTGCTGCTGTTCTGGTGCCTCCAAAATAGTCAGCCTTTCTGTTGCCTTTCCCATGACTTCCCTTTGCCACACTGCAAGCTGATTCCTTCTGCTGCATCTTTTCTGCAACTGTTCTGCACACTGTTGCTCTCAAAAGTCACAGGCAGGGGGCTAAACTGTATTCTGCTGTCAGTTGACTTCAGCATCCTGAAAGTCAAAAACCAGCACCATTTCATAGTGGCAGAAAAAGAGGCCTATGTGAAAGTTTGTGTTTTCCAAAGAGCAAAACATTTCTTGCAAACAGCTGTGTGGAAATTCTCCTTATTACGTGGAGGCAAAAAACAAATCTCACGTCAGCCAGTCTGTGAATGTTAGTCCTAGTTAAGCTTTCCACAGAAAAGGAGGATTCTGCTGAGCTTGGTAACATTTGTCGTACTTGTGAGTGGCTGCTCTGCTATTTGTATAAGGAAGTAGGTTCTCCCAGGAAAGCCACAGAGGTGAAATAAATCATTAAATACCTGCAGTGCATCTGTCTAGAAGTGTGTATCCATAGGGTAGGCATCAAGTCTGAGCTAGTCACCTCATGCTCCATTTAGCACTCAACCTCTAATTCAAAACCCCTGCCTAAAAACGCTAATTGAAAAAGAAAAAAGAAAAAAAAGTTGGTGTATTATTTATTTGTAATATTCCAGATAGTTGCAGTTACAAATCTGTGGATGAGGAGTTGTAAAGCAATCATGCTTAATCTGTTTCCATCAAGTTCTCCTGCACTCAGCTGACTTCATATATACATATAATACATATACATATATATATACACATATAATGGTACACATAATAGTAACAGTAAATAGTAAACAGTAAATACTTTTCTGACTCAACTCACTGAGGATGGTGTCCTTCCACCTGCCCTTTATCACCTCTGTCATTGTAGAAACAATGTCCTTCCGATGCAGCTTTGTACAGTTTATGTCTGTCTTGGAGCTCCTGGGGGTTTTACTGACAGGTGGAGTTTCTCTCAAAATGTAGTTACTTCTGATTTATCATGGAGGTTTTTGGAAATTAAAGGACTGCTTTAGGCAGTGTTACTCCTTTGAAGATTTCCCGTGTTTGGTTTATTAAAAACTTGTTTATTCTGTTGGGGTGAAATTCCCCTCATTCCCTACTATATGTGTGTATATTCAGTGTGACCTGCTGCTGTCCACTGAGCTTGGCAAACAGTTCATATATACTTCTGAGTGGGTTTAATGTGGGTAAATCATTACAAGCTCCTGACTGAGACCAAACATGACAGTAATTAATTACTTTACATGATAATGAATTTAGCATGCCTAATCTCCAAAAGCCTAGGAGAGAGATTGGCATTGCTTGACTTTTACCCATGCATCTGCTAGTGCTGGGAAGGTTTGTAATTATTATCTGAGTGAGTTTAGTCAGCGGGATTCTTGTATTTTCTGCCATCTCTAAAGCAGAAGTATTGCTCTTTGTGAAGTCTGTTGAATGTGCTAGTGACAGGCAAAGAGCAACTCCTGTTATGATCTGGGCAAACTTTGAACATATTAATGTATGTCTTTGCCTTAATAGTGTCATTCTTTCAATGAGTGTGATTGATACGCAGAATTGCAGCTTGGTGGTTAATGAATGGGCTTCTAACATACTTTGTTTTGTTTGTTTGTAGCTGGAGGTTTACATTTTACATCATTTCTTTCTTCACTGGACTTGCAGTCCTGTACGATGTGAGTACACAAGCAGTGCCACCTGCTGTTCTGCCTAGCCAGTGCCTACAAGAATGGCAGATTTTGTTGTCAAACATGTCCTTTCAGACCTTCTTATAGAGGTTTTCCCACCCTGACAGTGTGTATCCTCTGCACGGCACACTTAATGAGACCACAAACATATTGGACCATGCTTATTTTAAAAAATCCAGCCCAAAACCAAGAGGTTTCCTCTTCTTCTGGCAAAGCAGAAGACAATTGGGATGGTGTAAAAATACATTTCTGTGGGGTAGGAGATGGAACGCTTATCTGAGAATGAAGCTGCAGGGCCTGTTTGTGTGTTGTATCCAATACCTGTTTAAGGTAAAACTCAGGCTTCCTTTGGAGCATGGACTGCAATTTAATAATTTTACTTCTTAATCTTCTTTTCCTTACCCAAGGTGTGATTGGTTCAGGCTCATGCCTCTTCCTTTTCTCTGATTTGATAAATAACAAGTTCTCTTGATACAAGTTGAACTGCCTCAACAGGCAGAAGAGGTAATAGAAGCCATGCATATGCTCTCATCACTGAGCTGTGGTCACTAAGCTGGGACTAGGGGCACCAGTCATCCTCTGGCTGTGTTTTAAAGGTTCCCCTGGCTCTTTTGCTGAATCCAATTCCCTAGGTGAGCTTTGCAAAAGTCATCTACACTGGCACTTTCTGAGTGGTTAAGTAATGGAAAACCTGCAGATCCCAGGACAGCAGGCACGAACTGTGCTTGTAACTTCACATTATTGTAACAAGTGAAGAACTTTTGAACTTACACTGACTTTCAAGTCAGAATTTAAGGTACTGTAGGAGTATGAGGATTACAGGATGAGCTAGCAGAGGAGTGAAGGTATCTAAATCCCAGCTGCAGTGTTTTGTGGATCTGTACATCAAAATAGAAGGTTATTCTTTGAGGCCAGCTATGAAAGTTTGGTATGGATGACCTGCTTAGCATAGTAAAAGAGCCCTGTGGCAACAGAAGGGGTAAAATCCTGTTGTTCTGCATGCTATCTGACTATTCTAGGAATGAAAGATCATGTTCACTTTTTGTGAAAGTCTTTTCTGAATACAGTACACATCTTCCAATTTTCATAAAAAAAGGAGGCATCTGTCCTAAGGACAGCACCTCTAGATCCTGTAGCAAATAGCATGTTACTCTGTTATCTAAAATTGCATCAAAATGACTACATTAAAAAGGAGGACAAAGAATTAAAGTGACAGGGCGTATTTGCATGTTTACTTTGTAATCTGAGTAGTATTTTAACATGCATTTGTTTTTGTGAAACACCCATCTTTATTAAAAATCAAATGTTTAAATTCTGTATTAATAGGTTTAGACTGATGGCTAAAACCTCTGCCCATGAGTCAGTGAAATAGCAGGTAGCAATGCAAAGTTATCTCACAGTAGGCCACCAGAAAACAGCTTTATTTGCTGAGAGTAGAGGAATGATGAAATTCAGAGATCTGGGGTTCCTTTCCAGTTTAGGTAACACGGTGTGGCATAGCTGTTTCAGAGTTTTTGCTTTGTCCTCTCTCATTCTGTATCACACACCTCTCCTGGTTCTGTACCTGTATTTGCTGTAAATCCTACTCCCAACCTCACTCCCAGCCAGCAGGAGGCTGTGTCTACTCCTAATTACTGCTGTTCTTAAAAAACACTGCTTCCTGCTTCCCTTCTGTATTGCTCATGCACCAGCAGGTGCTCAGTGAGAGAAGAAATGTTCCCTTCTTGCTCTTAGCTCTGATATCTGGAGCCTTGTAGAACTGGTACAGAAAATTACCCTCACAGATGTGGCATAAAATATGTTCCATCACTGTATACTCTGGGACATGCTTGCTCTGATCAAATCTGGGCACAGCGAAGGGTCAGAGCATGCTCTGTGAAGAAATAACTTTTGGGGACTTTAGTTGCCATGTTTCTATGAAAGTTTCTAAGGTGCCAAGTTCTAAACTACCAATTTGCTATGAAGTGTGAACAAAGTAGGATCTTTTCAGAGGTTCATTACTTAACAGACTGCAGCACAATCCTTACCATTAGAGGAGAAACCATGTTCCTGACACACAAGTTTTCAGCCCTCTTATCACGTTTAAGCAGTGTTGTCCAAACCACAGAGATCCTTAATTAAATAGTTGTAAGGATATTTTAATATATTCAAAACATAACCACTACCACTCCAAACTTGTAGAAGGTTGCAACAAGTTGGTAGAAACCTTCCCTGAGCTATTTTATTTGGAACTGGGCTAAAAAGCATGTGACATTTCAGCACAATAGCCACAAATTGGCAATGTTGCAAGCAACTGCAAGCTCTTGGTGGAAATCTCTTGGCAGCTGAATTCCAGACAGTGTGACCAGCTCTGCCTGTAATAAAACACAACAAAATCTGTAGTAGTAACAAACTAAAGGAGTTAGAGAGTTGATAAGAGAAGAATTCCTCTGGCATTCTCACATTCATGTTGCATTTTCTTTCCAGAAGCCTTGGCTTTGGGACCATAGAGAGTGCTGGACAGGATATCCACAACAGGTGAGTCATGCAAGAGGGAAAATCACTGTTATAAATCATGTATTGTCTTTTAATGTCTTTTGAAAATCAGGTTATATTAGTGACAAAAGAGAAGGCACTGAATTAAATTCAGACTCATGAGCCCTAAGAATACAAAGCTAGATCCTCATCAAGGGAGAACATCTTTGCATCTGGTGTAATCTAAACACAATAGAGGATGAGTCAGGAAAGCAGGAGACTGCAGAAATAAAGGGAAAGTGAGAATTCTGACCAGGTGAGCCAAGAAACTGAAAAACAGGAATGCTCCAAGGTTGTTTAGTTTGTAGAAGAGGCTGAGGCCAGAGAAGGACATGTTACCTGAGGAGAAGAAATGAAGACTTCAGTGGAGAGTATGTGGAGCAGACAACATGCTCTGAAAGCTATGTACTTTCAGCTATACTGAAGAATCATGTCCTCAGTGCTCCCCAAGGAGTTTGTTTCCCAGTGGAACTGGCAGTATAGCCAGTAGTAATACAGAATCATTCCCATTAAGTTTGGAGGATGCTCTTTTAGTTTTACGTTGTATATTCTGAGTTTTTTCACAACAGCACTGTGAGCAGCTGTCCAGCGGGTTGGAAAGCATACATCTGTTGTCAGCCCAGACTGGCATAACCTCAGAGAAAATTGCCAGCTAGGCACAAAATCCGCTCCTTTTTCATCAACACAAGGAGCAAAGATAGCAACCAAAAGCCAGGTACTTTTTTGCCCAGCTGCCTCCCTTGCTATTCCTACTCCTATAACTTGAGAAGTTGAAAGAGTTAGAAAGGGGCTTCACCCACTGAGCACAGGAGCTGTTGCCTGCTCTGCTTTCCCCTTACATTTTTATGTGCTCTGAATTCTCTAAAGACGACTATTGCCTGTGCTCTAGCAGGAGCCTTGCTATATCACAGTGCTGTGGATGCCAGAGCAGACATAGTAAAGAGACCTAAATTTCATTGAAGTGTAAAATCTGATTCCAACTTTGGAAAAGGTTCCTCTATCCTATGAGAGCAGCTGATAAGTGTTTCTAGCAAGATAGTAATCTCCTGTATTATGCAGGGAGCTACCACACACAGGATTTTACAGTACTAGAATTTCCTGGGTAGGAAATAAAATCTCTCATTAATTGAAGTGGAGGCTGAAAGACACTTGATCCCAGTACCAAGACAAAGTGAAGACTGCTTATGTTCCAGGGCTTTTTGGTCTCGCAGCCAAAGTTAGAGCAAGACCCTGTGACCGTACATTGAGGTTGCAAACCCATAAAGGGAAATGTAATGCATAATTTTAACAGTGTGAGCCACAGGAAACATAACAGAACAAATGAGTGAGGAATGAGGTACTCTCTTTCAAGCTGAGTCTCCAAACAATCTGCTGTTGCTCAAAGGCAGAAATTTTAGGGGCAAATCTGTAGCTCTGTAAAAGTCAAACCATACAAACAGGTGGTGCTTGAATAGGAATGTAAGACGAAAAGAATCACTTGGGTCCTTGTGTCCTGTTCTGTACATTTGGAGTACATGTCTTCAAAAACAATCCAAGCCATCATAACAGCACACTGGTGTGGGTTGGCCCTGGCTGGCTGCCATGTGCCCACCAAGGCACTTTGTCTCCCCCTTCCTCAACGGGCCAGGTTGGAAGCAATACGATGAAAGACTTGTGGGTCAAGATAAGGACAGGGAGATCACTTACCAATTTCCACTACAGGCAAAACAGACTTGTCTTGGGGAAATTAATTTAGTTTATTGACAATCATATCAGAGTAGGATAATGAGAAATAAGAACAAACCTAAAAACACCTTCCCCCCACCCCTCCCTTCTTCCTGGGCTCAACTTCACTCCTGGCTTCTCTACAACCACCCCCCAAGCAGCGCAGGGGGATGGCGAATGGGGGTTGTAGTCAGTTCATCATCACATGTTGTCTCTGCCGCTTCTTCCTCCTCACGCTCTCCCCCTGCTGCAGCTTGTGGTCCCACCCATGGGAGACAGTCCTCCACGAACCTCTCCAACGTGGGTCCTTTCCACAGGGTGCAGTCCTTCAGGAACAGACTGCTCAAGCGTGGGTCCCTCATGGGGCCACAGGTCCTGCCAGGAGCCTGCTCCAGCGCAGGCTTCCCATGGGGTCACAGCCTTCTTTGTGCACATCCACCTGCTCTGGCATAGGGTCCTCCACAGGCTGCAGGTGGATATCTGCTCCACCATGGACTTCATGGGCTGCAGGGGGGCAGCCTGCCTCACCATGGACTTCACCACGGGCTGTGGGGGAATCTCTGCCTGGAGCACCTCCTCCCCCTCCTTCTTCAGTGACCTTG